CCTTTAATTCTTCTACTCTGGATTTTTTTGTTATTCTCTGATTTCAGGGGCAATAAGCAATGATCTACTACCATTAGTATTATATAATATTAAATATTTTGCTCAGATAATATAATTCAAATGAAAAAATAATGAATGAGAATTATTCTCCAAATAATTGTTTTTAATTTCAAGTTTTAGTATGTTTAAGCCCTCAGTCAGAAATACAAAATATTATTATCTAAACAGATATATTCTGCAATACAAAGAAGGCCAATAGAAATAGGAATTATAAAATGAGCTAGTCACATGACAATTTCCTGGCTTCAGATTACGAGTGAATGTAACATCGCGACAAGCAAATAAGTTCCTATCTCATGTTGTATTTCATTTTAATAAACTATATCAAAGCTATAACATATTTTATAAGAACATAAGATTGATACATTGGTATAAAGTAGTTAGAAATTTGGGAATAAAATTTCCATGAGTAGTACAAAGTAATCAATTTAAGGATATTTAGTTTGGTATGACGGTGGAGAATATGGTCTAAGAATTTTCAACTTGCGTCATCTGATTGTCATACCTGAAACCTTTCATGAACTGAAACAATTTGTATAAAGGGACAAAGACTGGACGAAAATGACTTCCATGATCACCTGACCACAGATTGAGGCAAGTCCAGGAGACCCATGAAAAATAAATGAAACGCTCTGCAGGAAATGATCATTTTATCAGAAGACATCAAAACCAGTGAACTGAATCAACATCGAGAAAGTCACATCTCTGGTTTCAATTCAAATTTGCATGACAATTTTACGTATGGGGAAATTAAAGGCTTACCTACCAGTTAGCTAGTTTTGTAAGACGCTGAAGCCAGACTCAGGAATATACAGAATGGAGAGAAAGAAAAATGAATGTGTAACAATAAAAGTTCAAAATTTCTCTCAGCCTCACAAACGACAACACCTGATGAAGAAAGCGGATCAGGGTAACAATCATTCATCAACAATTCGAAGGTATGTACAAACTTAACTACTACTGAGGATACCGATCAATAATTAAACAATTGTGGTCTCAGATTAAAGCACCTCAAGTAGTCTAAGGACTTTTAAATTTTTTAACCGTTATTCTCTCTGTATGTAGCAGACACTCCCTCCTTTTTCACATTATTACCTGTGTCTGTGTACGCTTGTCATTGCATTTTATTATTTTTCCCCTTGAGATTAGTAGAAAATAAAACTACTCTTTCTTTCACTCAAGATATCCTTGGAATTGATACCTTTGGTGGTTGGTTATTCAGTTGAGTGGATGGATGATTTGTGACACAGAGTGGTACTGATGTTGTAAATCCAATTCCTTCACTCACTATGGACACTATGAAGGACCTGACTTCTCAATCTTGTCCCTCAACTTAGGCATGGTACCCATGATGTTAAACTCACCAGCAGTCATCTCTCAATAATGAGAGAGCAACCTATGGCAACTTTCATTTTGATCTAGTTAACTTTAATAGAGGTATGATACATTCATGCTAAAATAGATTTGTTGCAATCAGCTGAAAGAGGGTTAAAAGTAGTCACTTCATCTGGAAGTAACAAATATGGTGGTTGGCTGTAATGATCTCACAGGCAAATTATGGAATATGAGTGGGGAAAAATAAATGCTTCCTTCAAAAGTTCTCCTTTTTGAAAAAAAAACTTCAAACAGGTTTTCTTGAGTCACCAATATTATAATTCTAAAATGTCCACATTTGTTATTAATGCTTTCATAGAACAGAGCAAAATAACTTTCAGAAAATGCAGGGGCTACCTTTGGAAGGATTAAAAGGGAAAGCTAGGCAGTTAGAAATGAGGTTCTGCTTAAAAGCCAGAAAAAGAAATTGCAAAATGGGTGGTGAAATTCTAGAGGTGAAAACTGAAGAAAGTGAAATCAATAAATTTAAATTGGAACAGCTCAGATTAGGACTGGAATTTCAACAGAAAAAGAGAAGAAAGAGAATTCCAGGAATTGAAAGAAGAAATAAAGATGCAGATGTGAAAGCATAGAGACGATAATTCTGGGAAAGGGAAAACAAAAAGGAAAGGCAGTTTAGATTGGGACAGCTCAAGCTGAGAAGACAGAATGAAGGTAGCTTTGGTAGGGCACCCAATTCAGATTAAAGTTGACCATTTTCACAAGTTTGATGAGAAAGAAGTGGGCACTTTATTGATCTTTTTTGAAAAGTTAGCACAGTAGTTAATGTGGCCAGTCCAACAATGAATATTGCAATGACAGAGCCAGCTGGTGGAGAAATCTCTCAAAATTTACTCCTCCTTTACTGAGAAGAGTTCTATTGTGAGGCAGCAAAAAAGGTTATTTTTAAATTTCAAAGAAATGCAAATCCAGATATCCTACAAGAGGCAAACCTTAGATTATCACCCCCAACCTCCCAGAGATCAAATTTGTAAAAAACAGATGCCTGAATCTGGTATAGGACTACACAAATAGGTGGCAAAAGGTTAAGACTTAGAGCCAAAATAATTCACATAACAAGCGTGATTGTCAATTACAATGTTCATTTCGAACACAGACTAGAACAAAGAGAGTGAATGTGGAATCTGTAAGCATTGTCATCAAAATCCCTATACTGTTGCTTCATAATTACCTTGTACACAGTAAACAAATTGGAGAAATTCACATTCACATTCACATTCATTCTTCATGGTGGAGGGTTGTTACAATAGTGGTGAACATGGACTATCAATTTTCAACTTGCATCATCCAATTATTATATCAGAGACCTTTCATGGACTGAAAAGGTTATTTTCAAGAAGGGACAAATACCGACTTAAAATGGCTTCCATAATTACCTGACTACAGGTGACAATAATAAATCAAATCAAATCAAATCAAATCAAAAAGGCAAGTCCAGTAGATCCATGTGGATTAAACAAACTAATCTACACTGGAATTATCATTTTATCTACAAACATTGAAACCAGGAAGCTGAGTCAGCGTCATAAAATTTGTACCTCATACTTTAATTCACATTTGCACGATAAGTTCATATATTGAGAGATGAAAGGCATGCCAGTCTGCTATCCAACCTTGAAAGACAGTGTAGCTAGAGTCAGGAATACAAACTAAACTATGTTTCAATAGCTGCTTTTAAGCAGAAGAGTAGAGAGATGTGAACATGAACCTGTCACAGCAAGAGCTGGAACTCTCTCATTCTTTCTGTTTCTCTTATATGTTCCAAAGTCAAAATCTGTTGAAAGAAAGCAGATTGGGAAAACAAGTATTCACCAAGAACTTGAAAGTATCAACATACATTGCTACTACTTAAGATACCAGTCAAGAATTAAATAACCAATATCTCAGGTTAAAAATATTACACCTGAAGAAATCCAAGGAAATTGGATTGTGTAACCTTTACTCTTCCTGTCTAAATCAAACTTGCTTTCCTTTTTAACTTATTACATGTTTATATGTACCGTTGATGCCACGGTTCTATTTTTTCTTAGGATTATTAAGTAATAAAATTTCACTTTCTTTCATTCAAGGAAACCTTATAATTAGCTCTTTGATGTTAATCTAATTAGTTACATCTTTACTTGAAGTTTGACGGTTACATGCTGAAAATGAAATAAAAATAGTGTTGAAACTGACCAAGGGGAATTAAAAAGAAAGCAGCCATTGTCCTGTCTTCACTTGGTCATAGCAAGGTGTTAAAAGAGCTTACCATAAATAAATTCATCTCCCATGTCCTGTCCTGCATGGCAATACTGTTGACCATGTAATATTGTGTTTTAACCACTTATCCCAGCACACTATATAAAATATGTGATATTTTCTTTTGTGCCTCCATTAAAAAATAATTTCAACACTTGAACTCAGTGGTTCAGTGATGACCTATGACACCGACCTAATGGCCCCAGCGTTAACTCCAGGCATGACTACACTGTGTAGGGTCTGGACCTTGGTTGCAGGAGGCCTTAAGAGAGTGTAACTTACAGGTTTTACTTCAAATGCCTGAAGTCAGATTCCAACATAAACATGGTCAAAATCATGAGCTGGCTGATGGGTGGGAGCATAATTTCATCAGCAGGAAACCATAACTGAAAATGCAATAGTGTGCTCCTGGCACTTTTAACAATGGCTAATGGATAAGTGGAGTATGGTTATAATGTTGAGTAGAAGTCCAAATCAGGATCTCCAAGGTTTACTTACAGGTCTTTCAATGGTAGTCCCACTCCTACTGGCTCGCAAAATAATTGAAAACATTTTCCTAATTTCATCTGGCCCAGCTCAGCTTGTTGACATGTTTCCTGGGTGGTAGCTTCTGAATTCAGCCCAAGTCACATACGCAATAATATGCATCAAGTACAGGAAATTGGAATTAGTGCAATTTTAGTGGTATTTATATTGGTGCAGACTTGATGGGCTGAAGGGCCTTTTCTGCACTGTATGAACCTATGACACAATGGTTAAAAATCACCTTGGGGCCCTAATTTGCATATTTATGAGGTCTCACTGCCTTCATGGGCTACACATAGGCCTCCTGAAGTTTATGAATTAAAATAGTGCTGGTCAAGAGTATGGTGTGAACAGGGACATGAATATTCTTCCCCCACTTTCATATCCGTATACCCCTCCCCTCCAGCACCCCACCCTGCTAGTTTCCTGTTGGGTATGTGCTTTGAGATCGGGTCTTGTGTTTGTATTTGCCTTATTGAGGCAATAAAACTATGAAACCAAGGCACTCAGTGGCAAATCAAGAACACCAAATTGGTCAAAGTATTCATTAATGTCTAATATGCTAAAATAAGATTAATTCAGTACACTACTTGCTTAAGATGCTAACATAAATAATTATCATAAAAGCTCCTGGAATATTGTAATACCAACTGGTTCATTCATGCCATTCAGGTGAAGGCAAGTTCATAGAATCCGTAGTGTAGAAGCAGACCATTTGGCCCATCAAGTCCACACTAAAGAACATCCCACCCAGACCCCTACCCTATCCCTGTAACCCTGCATTTTTTCCATGGCTAATCCACCTAGCCTAAACACCCCTGGACACTATGGGCAATTTATCATGGCCAATCCATCTAACCTACACATCTTTGGAGTGCTGTCCAAAGTTGCTGTCCTCATTTGATCTGAAGTACCTCCAGTCAGCATTTTGTTACTGGCTCATTCTCCCAAAGTGTATCAGCAATCCAAAAAGCATTGAAGACACTTACATGGAACTCCACCAGAACGATTTAGGGACAACTAGGGTGGGTAATAAATATAAACCTATAGTGTTGGCATGTCACTCACACTTGGAAAACAGATTTTTAAAAAAATCTTGCTGGTGCCCTGTGACATTTTTCTGTTTGCTATTTTAGAGAAGGTATTATCTTTTTAGGTTATACATTAAAATCACTGATTTTAAATATCCCAATCTGGATTTATGTGGTTGAACAGTCCCTATTACAGTATCTTTGAAAATGTATGTTTTAGAACACAAAAAAACAAGCGTTTTGTTGTTTAGAGAATTTGGTCTTCTTCAAGTTCATTCACATAGTCCTGATCAATGTAAATCATGAAGCCGGTGAATAAACTGTCTGCCCTGTGCGGATCATAATATAGACCATTTTGTTCAGAATAGAATATCTGCAGCCAAACTTCATCTTCACGTTTCAGGTACATAATAGTTGAACCAGAGGCTACATCATAATTCCCAGTGTTGGCGTCAAAAGTTTTAACACGATATTGCCCATTGTGCACCAACCCAATAGCAAGGTGCTTGTTTGCCAGGGTAATATCATAGGAAAAGTAGTAAATACCAGGTATACCACATATAAATTTGCCACTGGAAACATTATAATGCCCTCCTTCATTCAAAAGGACCTTGTCAAATTTGATGGGCATACGTTCCTTTGGGTAGCTGTAGGTGATGGCCACAGAGAAGGCTGATCTTGCAGTATTTGTGCCACAATTGCAGATTCCAGGCAAACCTGGTTCACCATTGATTCCATTAGCGCCTTTTGGTCCATTAGTTCCTGAATTACCTCGAGCCCCTCTCAAACCCCTCGGTCCTCGGGGGCCTGCTTTGCCAATAGCTCCCCGTATGCCTTTAACACCAGGTTTTCCAGCTATTCCTGGTTTTCCTCTGTCACCTGAAAAGAAAACATTGTTTTTATTTCCTTGTAAAATTTGTAATGCAGTTCACATGGTCATACAAGATCTGTGTTGAAATAAGAGACCAAGTGATCACTGTGCAATAGTGACTACTTTTCAAAGGACTTTGACAGCTGTGAAATGGTTTGGTAAACCGAGGTCATGAAAAATTCAACCTGTTTATTTTGTTTCTGTCATAACATTCAACTAGAGCTGTTCTGTCAATTCAAAATTCAAAAAAGTTGTTTAGTTTTTTTTATTCATTAACAGGATGAGGGCATCACTGGCTGGGCAGCATTTATTGCCCATCCCTAATTGCCCAGAGGCAGTTCAGAGTCAACCACTTTACTGAGAGTCTGGAACCACATGTAGGCCAGACCAGGTAACGATGGCAGTTTCCTTGCCTAGAGGACATTAGTGAACCAGATGGTCAGCATTAGATTCTTATTTCCCAGATATTTTTATTAAATTCAAATTCCACTATCTACCATGGCAGGATTTGAACCCAGGCCCGCAGAATTTTGTCTGGGTCTTTGGATTAACAGTCCAGCGATAATACCAGTAAGCCATCACCTCCCCTTTTTCACACTTAGGAGTTCTGAATAACATTCTTGTTTTATGCCACTACCTAGTGCTGACATATGTGGAATGTGCAATTTATTGTTAAGTTTTCTGTTTCTTTTTCTATCCTTTTACAATGTTTATTTAAACATTTGAATTTGTTCAGAAACCTGGACCCATGATGGGTTGAATTCATGCCTTGTACTTTAATGGTACAAACATTGGTGATATATGCCTCCAGGTCCTCAATAAAACCAATCCATCCTTTCTCTGGAAATCTGCATTCAAAATATTAGAATCAAATTATAAAATTCTTAGGTGCAGTTTCAGTTGGATGACCTTTCATCAAACCTGATTATCTGCTTTACATTCATGTCTCTTCCTTCCTCCCTATCTTGAAGGCTCTAGAATCTTGCTCGGTTATATAGTGCCATGGCATCAAAATAGGTTACCTGGTCTAATTGGCTATTTCGCATGTCAACAGTGAAGGTTGGCACTCTATACTACTCAGTTCAGCTGACCATAATCCAGTCTTCACCAAGAGATCACACATATGTGTTTTCTGATGGGGTAATTGGAGACTAATTAGGAGCATGAGCTCCACATCATATTTCCTCCCAATGGACACAGTCATTAAGGTCTGCATCAGTACTCCAATTCTCATTCTTAAAAAAAAGATCAGGTACACAGACTGAACCAGAGATGTTAATCTATTGACCACTGAGTCAGAAATCAAACGACACCAGGTTATAGTCCAACAGGTTTATTTGAAATCACAAGCTTTTGATGTGTTACCCCTTTGTCAGGTGAAGTCACCTGATGAAAGAGCAGCACTCCAAAAGCTTGTGATTTCAACTAAACCTGTTGGACTATAACCTGGTGTCATGCGATTTATGGATCTAATCTGCATTTCCTATGGATTTACTGCAATTTCTGTGGAGTGTATTGTATAAATTTCATCAGTGGAGATGGAATCAGTTAGAGTTCCCTGCGAATGCTTAGAATGAGATTAACCCAAGATGAAGTTGGGAAGTTTGTGAAATTAAGTACTAGCTTAAATTTCTTGATTTTTGATATAATGACTTGGAATGAGAATAATAACACATTCCATGAAAGTAAATATTGATTTGGTATTAATTCAAAGGAACCTATGCTATAAAGTTGGGTCATGTTTCAGAATTACTTGAAAATGGAGTCGCAGGTAGATAGGATAGTGAAGAAGGCTTTTGGTATGCTTGCCTTTATTGGTCAGTGGGTTGAGTATAGGAGCTGGGAGATCATGTTGTGGCTGAACAGGACATTGGTTAGGTCACTACTGGAATATTGCATGTAATTCTGGTCTCTCTCCTGTAGGAAAGATGTCATGAAACTTGAAAGGGTTCAGAAAAGATTTACAAGGATGTTGCCAGGGTCGGAGGGTTTGAGCTATAGGGAGAGGTTGAATAGGCCGGGAGCCATTTTCCCTGAAGTATCAAAGGCTGAGGGGTGATCTTACAGAGGTTCATAAAATCATGAAGGTTATGGATAGGGTAAATAAACAAGGTCTTTTCCCCAGGGTACTGGAGTCCAAAACTAGAGGGCATAGGTTTTAAAGTGAGAGGGGAAAGATTTAAAAGGGACCTAAGGGGCAAATCTCTCACACAGAGGGTAGTGCATGTATGAAATGAGCTGCCGAGGAAGTGGTGGAGGCTGGTACAATTACAGCATTAAAAAGGATGGGTATATGAATAGAAAGGGTTTAGAGGGATATGGGCCAAATGCTGGCAAATGGGGCTAGATTTATTTAGAATATCTGGTCAGCATGGACGAATTGGACCGATTTGGGTCTGTTTCTGTGCTGTATTATCACTATGGCTCTAATTTAAAATTGTATGGATTTTTGAATGATATGTTTATTTTGCAATTTTCAACTCTCCTTTTACAGTGCAGTAAGCTATCAACATTTATGTAAGGGTGAAGCAACGCTATATCCAATTTTCTGCATTAAACTTTATGAAAACTGTATACAGATGAAAAGTGCATAAAAACAAATGTTCCCAGACAAGTAACTATATCTTAGAAGACAAGTAAAGAAGGAAAATCAAGGATAATTTTTATCATTGCAACATTTTGTCAAATCCAGAAGTTGTCATACTTTGGGTAAGGTCAATACATGCATTTTCAACAAAGTATAGAATCTATGAACTCGTGAAATCAGCCATTAAAACAATGTAAAAATTGTTATTTTAGGAAATAAATAATAATGCTTGTTTAATTAACCAGTACTGGTTTGAAGCTTAAATCTATTTAACTTTAATGATCTTAAAATTTTAATTTTATAATGTTAAGATTGTTTTAAAAAATTTTTCCTAATAAAGCATTAACCCTTCATATTTATGTTATACAAGAAATTCATATATAGTTTACATATTTTACAACATTCGCAAGTAAAAATATTAAGGACCATGCAGGTTGGAGGCCATGTAAGGTCTTCCCTCCCCAGTAATCCATGGATAAATACATGGGTAGAAAACATCATTTAAAGGGTTATCTATTTCTTGAATTAATCAGTCATTGCCTATTTGCACTTTTCTTACAATCTGATTGTATTGTGGATATCTTAGCTTGATATGCTCAACATCTATCCAAGCATTGTACTAATTGATAACCAGAATGATCACATATCGATGACTATCATAACTTCAAAATTAGAAAAATTTATAAGACTGAATTAGAAAAAAAATCCACTGTCGCTGTCATTTGCAATGCTCCTAATAATTCAAAGCTGTTATTTTAAAGGACCTGTAAACCTTATATGCTGTTCTCTTTCTTTGGGGTAGGTCTTCAACTCTGATTAAAAAAATGAAAGCGAGTCAGCAGTAAAGAGCTGTAAAGTGACTTTCTGACACTCCGTAACTCATTTTACACCATTGTACTATGCCTGAATCAACATCCAGGGATAAAATTCTCCCCTCTCAGAGGAAGTGGTGAGGAAGGTGACAATAAAAGCAGATAAACTGGCTGAAAAATGGGAGATACTTGACACCCTCCTGCCATCTCAGAAATTAAGATCTAGACACGATAGCCTTTGGTTGACCTTCCTGACCCAGCACTAATTAAGGCCCTTGAATGGTCATCACCAACATTGTAATAAACTCAGTCTCTGGCAGATGAGAACAGTGGTAGATTTTTTGACTAGTACAACTGCACTTGCCTAGTGGATTAGTCTTAACCCGGCCCAATGTGACATTAGTGGGCATGGATATGCCTGTAAATTCCAGATTACTGACAACAGATAGAGTGGTGTCACTATTTTACCTTGTTCTCCCTTTTGGCCTTTAGGACCGTCTTTCCCATCTGCCCCATCTTTCCCAGGAATCCCCATTCTTCCGATTGTCCCTGATTGACCAGGATATCCTGGAGGACCAGGAGCCCCAGGAGGGCCAGGTGCACTGCAGATAAGCTGAGAAGGATCGATTGTAATAGGCAACTTTTGGCTTTTTGGAAGTTGATTGGCAGCATGAGATGTAAAACAGAAAAGGAGAACCAACCAGAGCATCATAAAATCTAGGAAGGAAGGTTAAGATAGGTTATTAGTTCAACCAAAAGCAAAATACAGCAAATAGTTATCCTGTTTATGTATCCTTTCTGGAGATCTGAAAGAAAAAGTGATCCCAACTTTGTTCTCACTGAACATCTACTTCAATGTACTTTCAGCAAGATTCATGATGATCAAGAGTGGGAAATGTAGATGAATTTCCCTTTATGCATCAGGAATATTATCAACAGTTCTAACATCCTTTTCTCCACAACGATATTCCCTTTAATTCTTCTTTGGTACACATGGCCTGTTTATTTCACTGCACAGTATATTCAAGGTTGCAGCACAGTCAAGCACACACATTAGCTTAAAGGGAACATAGACTCATGTACAGTTAATTGCACTAAGTGGTACATTCCAGATTGCCAGTTAAAATGGATGTTATTTGTAGCAAGCACTGAACGATACAGATGAGGAAAATCCAAGGTTAAATCTCAACCTTTGCTTAGCAAGTTCAACAATCTAAAATAAATTATACACATTACTGTTGTCTTCCAAGCAATTGCATCCCTTTGTTGTTCAACATGGACTCTTATTAGAAAAGATAGTGAATTTTAAAATTCTTCCGAGAGTGAGCTTTCTACTGACTTCATAAATAATTAGCTAATAACGTTTGTATCACCTGTCAAAATTACTTTCTTTATCACTTTCAAATTCAGTGTAGTTTTCCCAGACTTTTTCTTTACATTCCAAAACATTTGCTTATATGATCCAGGCGCTAATTCAAATGCAACAAGTATAGCTCTTTCCACAGTGTCATAATCCCTAAAATCCTCTTCTAGGACTAGGATCCACTAGGATTAGAACTCTCCCCATTAGACCCCCCTTAACTTCTGGCTTTTCTTTTTTTTTTAAACTGCATCATTTGAATCCTAAATTTGCCATCCTCTCTCTCTCTCTCCTGCTTCACTGAGATAACAATGTTAGTTTTGTAAGCATCAAAGCATGGTACAACCATATTTGACCAACATTTGATAAAGAAAGAAAGCATTGCACGTGTGAAGCAATGTCTATATATGACATGTAACTGGAGTTTGCAAGCACATGCTTGCATATTTTGCATAGTGTCCTAGTGTCCAGCAGATGTGGATTCCACACTTTCATCCATCATACTGACTTGCTTACCATGTGCATTGTCCCAGCCAATTTCGAGTTGCATTGTGCACCTAGACAATGGTCAGTAATGGCAAGGAACACAACTCACAGTAGACACTGTAAACACCAGGCCACACCAGGTATGTTTCCAGAGCCTCCACGTCCCCTTAAACCTTGGACTACCTGAACAGCCTACTTCCACCCGTCACCCCCGATGTGGAGATATTAATAAGCACAGTATACATTATCTTGAATGAAAACAAAAAGAGCTGGACATCAGACCGGGTCAGGCAGCATCCATGGAGAGAAAGTAAGGTAACGTTTTGAGTCTAGATGACTCTTTATCAGAACTGACGTGAAGTAGTCATCTGGACTCGAAACATTAGCTCGTTTTCTCTCCATAGATGCTGCCTGACCTGATGTGATGTCCATTATTTTTTGTTTTCAGTACAGACTCCAGCATCTGCAGTAATTTGCTCATACATTATCTCGATCTGTTCCTGAAACCTTTAAAGCTGATGTGGATCGTATTTTGTTAGTGTATATTCAGTTAAGTTTATTGCTTACATATGGAAATCAAACATCAGAATGATACTTGTCTTACTTGGAGGATTTGCTGCTCTTATTTTGCAGAAATGGATGAAACACAAACAGTTCATTAGGAAGGTTTCAAAGACATGCTTGCTATTGTGACCATACTTCAAACAATGCCAATAAAATCAGCAGGCTGAACACAGCAGGCCAGGCAGCATCAGAGGAGTAGAAAAGTTGACGTTTTGGGTCGGGACCCTTTTTTTTTCTGAAGAAGGTTCCCGACCCAAAATGTCAACTTTCCTGCTCCTCTGATGCTGCCTGGCCTGCTGTGCTCCTCCAGCTCCACACTGTTGTTATCTCTGACTCCAGCATCGGCAGTTTTCACTATCTCAAAACTTGATACAATCCTGCAGTGGAAAAAAAATCAAATCTGTTTATCTTTTACTGCCACAGGGTGAATAGCAAGCTCCTTGAAACAGTACTGGAATCTGGACTAGCTGCAGAGATATGGATATCTCTATGGTGTTCTTCATACTCAATTTGAGTCACCTCACATGTTCCATTTGGAGAAAGTAATAAGCTTCTTCTTTGTGTAATAAATCCTTCATCCAAATCCACTTGTGTTCTATTGTGGAGTCTCTTGAATGGAAACGTGTGCAAAATAGTTCAGTACAGAAGGAATTGTATGCAATATTAAATCAGCTTTCACCAGCTAAAATCCTTCATATAGCATTATAATTTTTGTTTCTAACTAAATTTGCCCCGAATTATTTGCCAAAAAAATGATTAATTTCATCAAGATGGAACTGAAGTCTCAATCACTTTTTTGGATACGTATGTGATTACCTTCTCCCTCAGTTTGAGCCCTCGCATACATTGATCTTCAATAAAGGAACATACAGCTAAAAAAGAGATGCTCAGAATTTCTGCATTCCTGCCTAAAATCCAGCTTTGGTAAAATGTAAGAGGAGAATGTACTGATTGCTATATGATATTCCCTGATGTCCTGACTAACAAGATACATATTATTTCTTTCAATACTCGCCGTAAAATTTCTTTTAACTAATAAAGTATATTTGAAATGTATTCACAGCAGGAGAACATTAAATCCAATTTGGAAACAGCAACTAACTCCAAACAACTTTTGAGGCTGCTTGAGGGCTTATTATTGACCAGGGCATGGGAAGAATCTTTCTATTCTTAAACAATGTAATGTCACATTTGGCCTACCTCTTTAACATCATCTTTCAGCTATCTCCTTTCCAGACTGAAAAGCCCAAATCCTTCCAGTGTTTCCTTGTAATTCAGAACCTTGAGACTAACCTCATGATGTTTCTTTCAACAATTTCTAATGCTTGAGTGCGTTCAAGTTCAAAATAATTAAGGCCACAATCCTGAGTCAATTGAGCCTAGCTCAAATAACTTGCGGAACTGTGATCACGTCCCTCCCTCTGAGTCAGAAGGTCTGGGTTTGAGTCCTACCTACTCCAAGTGTGTCTGAACAGGCTGAATAAATTTTTTTTATAAGATTCATTATCCAATAATTGGATTCAAAATACAGGCATCAGATGAGCTTGCTTGCGTATTTAATCTGAGTTGATCTAGTACAACGCAAAGACTAGTAGTGAATATGATAGTGAACTAGCAGCTGAGAATCACTAAAGGAGACCAAGAATGATGCAGGTCAGAAATTCCAAGTTCTTTCATGAAATTCTTCCATATGTACTTGTTCAACTGCTGTATTATTTATAATTCTTGCAGAGGGAATACAAAGCACACACTGTAGGATAAATCCAGCCGGCCAAATCTGTTGTTCCTTTCAAAGACACTATCATGGAGATCGTTGCCTGGGAAGCTGCACATGGTTGCTGGTGCCACACAAATAAGAAGAGTGGAATAGTTTTAGATTTGTATTATATTAATCTCATTAATTCTAAATAAAAATGTGCTTCAGCAGGTGTTAAGCATTGATTGACTTCTGCCACATACTTTCAGTGCCATAACAAGATATTTAACTGTGCAAATAATGCCGTCTGTGCATTTCCTACTTGTTACAAATAGGTCACAACTCTCAAAGAAACAAATTTTACCACAGTAACAGTATCCAACATCACTTCAAGTAACCAGCAGCCCAGAGTTGTTCCCTGATAAAACACAGCAGGTGTCACACAAGGCTCTTTCACAAGTAGGAAAATACCACTTAAAACATTCTCTACATAAAACACGATTCTTTGAGGCAAATTTAAGACCATTTGTAACAAAATAAAAACTGAAAGAACTGCGGATGCTGTAAATCAAAAACAAAAACAGAAATTGCTGGGAAAGCTCAGGAAGTTTGGCTGCATCTGTGGAGAGAAATCAGAGTTAACGTTTTGGGTCAAGTGACTCTTCCTCAGGGCTCCCGTTGTGCATTGTAAAATCAGTGCTTTTTAATTATTTTCTTTTGGATTAGTACATTCCTATAGATAACATTTACCTTTAATTATTGTTAATATTTGAAGAGCAAAGAAATTCTTAGTTATCAGGCTTGGTTTATGGGCTGTTTTGATATCAATTTTTGATTTAATGCTGATCTACATGAAGGCAAATTAGGACAGGTGACCAAAAGCATTGTCAAAGAGGCAAGATTTAAGGAGCATCTCTAAGCAGGAGATAGATTGTGAGGTGGTGAAGTTTAAGGGGCAAGCTTGTTTCCATTATATGTACAGCAAGTATATTTCTTAAACTGTAAAAGGGAAGCTATTTTGTCTGATAATAAGGTGCTTAAAATGTAAAAGATAGGGCAGTTGGTTGGGGTCGTGATGGGGCAGAAGCATTAGACAGGTGGCTAGAGTATAAGATATATCGGGCAAAGAGTTAAAATTGGTGTCAACATGATTTCCTCTATAATTACCCTCCAAAATCGATTACCAAAACATGTTAACTACGAATTTCCTATTGTCTTTCAAAAATTGGCTATGCATAGTTCAGAGAGAGGATAAAGGGCATTTCTTTCTAAATTACACAAACTTCTTTTGCTTGCTCTTTTGCTTTCTGCAGTGGAGAGTGGGACCAAAGGGTAGGTCTGAGGTTCAGTGCTCCCTGCTGTGACATTATAGACTTGCATGAAATTTGCCTCTGTGTGGCCCAGGTTTTCAGTGCTGCAAGTGCCATTTTGTGCCAAACTGACCCACATACTCAAATCTAGTGCAGGTGAGATAAGACACTGTTTTGATAAAAGTTAAACAAGAGGTGGCCTTTAATCATATCAGAGTAGCACGAGGGTATAAACAGAGGCTAATATGGGACCTAACACACAGGGTTGGTAACTGTAGCACGCATCTGAAGATAGT